ATGCTAGGCAAACACTCGACCAAGGAATAGGCATCAATGTCTAAAATATACTAGAATATAACAACCCCTTAACAAATTATTTGTGTTGTAGATGCAATGTTTATAAACAGGATCTTAAAATGCCTGTCCTTTAAGTCTCTTTCTTTGCTAAACACTCTACCAAGGAATAGGCATCAATGTCTAAAATATACTAGAATATAACAACCCCTTAACAAATTATTTGTGTTGTAGATGCAATGTTTATAAACAGGATCTTAAAATGCCTGTCCTTTAAGTCTCTTTCTTGTATAAATGCTCAAGTGTTTGGTTTGGTTTTGAGAGTAGACCTTACTATATAAGCCCAAACTGGCCGGAAACTTAAGGTCTCCTGCCTCAGCTTTTCAAATACTGGGATTATAGATAGTGGCAGTTTTCAAGTGTTTTTATGACCAAAACTCTATTAGCTCTCTAAGTAACTGACAGGTTTCTAAAATATTGCAACTCATAAAGTAGGTAACACTCTTTTCCCTTACTCACTGTAATTCAACACTGAGGAAGAGTTCAAAAGGAGAAATTTAATCTATGTGGCACAAATGTTCATAGGTTTAACTATAAAACAATCGAGGCAAAAACTCTAGTACATTGGTTATGGTAGTTTGAATGAGAAACGTCCCCATAGACCCAGGTTTTCTGAATACTTGGTGACCAGTTGGTGGAATTATTTGGAGCTTATCTGAGGAAGTAAGTCACTGAAAGTAGGTTTATAGCCTAGCCCCACTTCCAGTTGCTCTCTCTGCTTGTATTTGCAGTTGAAGACAACAATCTGTTTCCTGCTCTGGCTCCATGTGGCCATTCCTTCCCCATCATTATGAACTCCCTCTGGAACCCTAAGCCAAAAACTCTTTCTTCCATAAGTCACTTTTGGTCATGGTGTTTTGTCACAACAAAAAGTTAACTAATAAAGTAGCCCCTGCCTATAATCCAAACACTCAGGCCAAAGCAGGAGGATCACAAATTCAAAGGCAGCCCAGACTATATAATGTGAGGGTTAATATAGTCAACTAGGCAGGATTTAGAATCACTTAGGAAACAAGTCCCTAGACTGGGATTAACTAGGTTGAGAAGACCCATACTACATGTGGCCAGTACCATTCCATGGGCTGGGGTTCAAAATGCATAAAAATGAGAAAGCAAGCTGAGGAAAAGCATTTATCTATCTCAGCTTAGTGACAGCAGACATGATGTAACTAGTTGCTTCATGATCCTGCTACCATGTCTTCCCCACCATGATGGACTAGAACCTCAAACTATGAGTCAAAATAAACCTTTTATTAAATTGTTATAGCAACAAGAATAACTAATATGAAAAACACATCTCAAAATAAATTTCATCACTAACCATTACATACATTTCAAAGAGAGTGGGGGAAACTAGGGATAAAACACAGTTGGTAGAGTGCTTAGCTAGCATACACGGAAGATCTAGTTTTGAATCCCCAGTACTATATAAACCTAGTGTGGTGCATGCCTATAATCACATCATTTTGAAGGTGGAGCAGGGTGATTAAAATTCAAAGTCATCAACAGCTATACAGCAAGTTGAGGTGAGCCTGGGCAAAAAACACCTTGTTTTCAAAAAACAAAGCCAGATATCTATGAGATCAAGGCCAGCCTGGTTTACATAGTGAGTTCTAGGCTAGCTGGTGCTACAAGAAGACCATGTCTCAAAAATAAATAAATACAAAGTCTGGTGTAATGTAATCCCAATGATCGAGAGGATGAAAACAGGCATATCTGTGAGTTCCAGACCAGTCTAATTTACATAGCAAGTTGCAGGCCAGCCAGGAATATATAATGAGAACCTGTCTCAAAAACAAAAACAAACTTGGAAACTTGGTGATATCATCAGTGGTAGAACAGTTGCCTAGCATACAGCAGGGTTTCAGTTTGATCCCCAGCATGGAAAATAATAAATATAATAAGAAAGAGTATCAATTATCAGATCAGCTACTTCTAGACTAAAAAAGTAATTTCAAGAAAAAATAAATAGAAGAAAACTAAAATGTTATAAATGTCTATAGGATTTAAGCATTGCTCTATAAAATTAGGAAAGAGTTTTGATTGTTTTGCCCTGAGAAACTGTATTGTATCTACCTCTTCACAGCATAGAAGTAATTCTACAAGTTATATGCTAAATTGTTCTGATATTAGAATATTTCAAAGGATGTGAATGAATTATGACACTCCTTTCCACCAGATTTTATATCATTTTATCTGAATTAGAAGTTTTTGTGTGAATAATTTCACAAATACCATTTTTTGGATTAAAAAAAAATTTAATTATTACATTTATTTTATGTATATTGCTTGCATGTATGTAAGTGCACCCATGTGGTGCAATGCCCGAGGAGGTCATAAGAAGGCATTAGATCCCCCGGAACTGGAATTAGAGACAATTGTCAACTGTCATGTGGGTGCTGTGAATTGAACCCATGTCCTCTGCAAAAGCAGTCAGTGCTCTTAACCACTAAGCTCTCTCTCACGAATACTGTTTTTAAACAGAGGCAAAGATGATTAAATAAAAACTACTGGAAGAGGAACACATTTCCTATGCAGCATTAAGTTAATTTATAAATACTATATTTGACAACCTCTTTAAAAATCAGCAGGCAGGTGTTAGGTAATTTTTCCACACAACAAAATCTCCTAACAATGTTTTTCAAACATGATCAAGATGACATTATTCCCTACCATCTGATTAGCATATATAAAAATCAAGTCAAGGCTAGCTCCAAAACTCACCCTCAAACTGTCTCCAGACAGGAATAAGTTGTATGGATTGAGTATTCGCTCATAATGGCCCCTGATGTGTGAGCCCACAGCTTTACCAGGCGCAAACCCCATCTTGGTGGCAATTTTGGTCCATTTTCTATCCTTGCAAACAACTGCAAAACCGCCTTCTTCTGCAACTAACTGTTAAAATAGCAAAAAATATTAGAAAAATAAAAAATTTATATGTAAATTACTTCTAATTCCTTCACACCTAGATTTGATTCCAAAAATAAAATGCCAGCTACAGTTATTTTTTAAAAATACACTTCCCAGGGCCTGGAGAGATGGCTCAGTGGTTAAGAACACTGACTGTTCTTGCAGAAGACCCAGGTTCGAATCCCAGCACCCACATGGCAGCTAACAACTGTCTGCAACTCCAGTTCCAGGGGATCCGACAGCTTCTTCTGTCCTACACAGGTACTGCATGACAGGGGTACACTACATGCAGGCAATATACACATACACATAAAATAAAAACAAAAAATAAATTAAAAAAAATACACTTCCCAGCTCAAGAGAAAATAGTATCTGTGACACTTAATTTTAAGCAGTCATCTTAGAAGAATTAGGTTAACAATTAAATCTCTATTAAAGTAAGGACCTTCATATTTGGTCCTACTTTTAAAAAAATATATATTTTTAAAATTTTATTTTATGTGTATGAGTGTATTGCCTCACGCATGTGAGTGCACCTGTGTCGTGCAATGCTGCAGAGGTCAGAAGAGGACTCTGGATTCCCCTGGAACTGGATTTAAGGACGGTTCATAGAAGCTGCCGTGTGGGTGCTGGGAATCGAATCTGGGTCCTCTGCAAAAGCAGTCAGCTCTTAACCGCTGCACCATCTCTCCAGCCCCTGGTCCTACTTTATGACCCTTAAACTCTCCATAAACAAAAAGAAAGCGAGCATGCCATCATTATGTTTGGTGGAAAGACGTGGAAGCTAGAACTGAATTATAGTTCAGCTGTTTTAGCTGAAGTTTTGTTAAATTTCCTTTAGCCTCCATTTCCCTCCTCATCGAAAGGAACAGTTTGCAGTATTGAGAAGTTGAAAATGAAAAAAAATAGATGGTAACAAACTCTTCTACAAGATAAAGGCCTCCAGACCAGACAGAGCTTGATCCTCAATACTCTAACTGAAAAAAAATCTCACCTTGCAGATCTCAAACAAGTAGTTTATTTCTAAAGTAAAGATGATCATATTCATTTTGTCAAAAAAAATATTAAAAGGATAAGATAGTTACACTGGCACTTACCTTATTTAGCTGAAACAAGTCTAAGATCTTCCTCTCCACATGTGGAATCTTCAGAGTACTTCCCTGTAACTCCCAATACTTTGCAATCTGGTCCAGGAAGTTCAGTTTTACACGAGTTTGGGCCTAAGGGACAAATAAATAAGTTTAACCTCACCTATTTTCATTTCTTCCTATTGAACAAGGATCTCACTATTTTGCCCAGGCTGGACTTGATCTTAGGTATAAGCAATCTTCCCACTTCAGCCTCTTAAGTAGCTGGCTGACCCCCATGTGCTATTTTCATTCTTAGACTATTTAAATACAAAATCATTTTCTGCCTTCAACAGAAAAAGTCAAAATTATATAAAATAAAGCTGGTTAACTAATTATAGATCAAAACTAAAAAAGGGGGAAGGGGTGGCTGGAGAGATGGCTCAACAGTTAAGAGCACGTAACTCTTCTGGCATCTACAGGCATTGCACTCACATGGTGCACCTATATACGTGTAGGCAAAACACTTGCACATAAATTTTTTTTTTTTTTTAAATCTGGGGACACTGGGGACATTAACTTGACATGATAGGCCTTAACACAAATGACAGAATGTATGAATTCAAGTGGGGGTAGGACTATGGGAGGGGGCTGATGGGGAAGGAGGTATAAAGATGATTAAGATGTTCTGTATGAAATACACAAAAATTCAACAAAAACTTCAAAAAACAAGGGGGCTGGAGAGATGGCTCAGCGGTTAAGAACACTGGTTGTTCTTGCAGAAGACCTAGGTCAAATCCCAGCACCCACATGACAGCTAACAATTGTCCATAACTCCAGTCCCAAGGGATCCAACAGCCTCTTCTGACCTCCTTGGGCACTGGACAACATGGGTGCACTTATCCACATGCAGGCAATACACCAATACACATAAAATAAAAATAATGTAAATAAAATATTTTAAAAAAATTCAAAAAACAAAATAAAAACATTTTTAAACCTCAGAAAAGTGTTAGTTGAACCTTTACCCATGTGTCAAGCAAAGAGTTAAATGCTCAGTAAATCCTCCCATAATATAGTCACTGAAAAAAATGTGCTTCAATTAAGAGATACTATAGGCACAATTTCATGTTGTTGCTTTAAGTATGACAGATAAAGGGTTATGCATGGTGATGCACACCTTTAGTCCCAGCACTCAGGAAGCAGAGGCAGGTGGATCTCTGTGAGTTCAAAGCCAGTCTGGTCTACATAGTGAGTTCCAGGCCAGTGGCCTGCTGGGGATACAAGGAAACCCTGTCTCAAAGACCCCCCCACCCCCCAAAAAATGACAGATAAGCCTGGGGGAATTTTTTAATGACATGTTATTCTAAAGATGTTTCCTATTAGTAGAAATTTTATTTCCTCAGAGAGGGTGGGTTCGGACCTCCATCGGTGTAGCAACTCAGATCTCAGCAGACCACCAGAGAGTGCCGAGCTCTAGCCTCCATCTAACAGAGGGCCTGAGAATCCAGGGGACTGCCTGAGAGCCCCTGGATCTTGCCACGTGGTGCTATCAAAATACCTGAAAACAAATCCTGAATCCATCACTCTAGAGTGCAGCCTTGGAAGACAAAATAAAAATGAGGGATGCTTTTGGAAGCCCCTGTCAAGAAATTCCAATGGACTCTCATATGAACATTTGAAAACTGCCCTGTTCTGACTTTTTTCTAGTTCCCTGTCTAGAACTTGTAATGCCAAGTACTCTTACCTTTACTTCTTCTTCACATCTCCTATTTATGATTCAAGTACTTTCTTTTCCCCTTAGAGATAAGAGTTACACAATTTGGAAGTCTTTTAGATAGATCCACTGAAGGGGTACTCCAATTGCCTCACCCTGCGTCCCTGTTCAGCATGGAAGGAGCCAGAGCAGTCTGTGTCCCTACTCCCTATTGGAAATTTGGGTAACCCCTTCAGAGGATGGTGTGATAAGAATAGGAGGTAGGAACTGGCTGGGCAGTTAGGGTAAAAAGACCCCAAAGAAAAGTAGCCAGTTTCTTGCCTAAAGGCAAAATGTTCTTGGGAGTGTTAGCAACAGGCTCTGTTCCAAAGTCCAAAAATGTCAAAAGTATTTGGGAGCTTTTATCTAATCCTTAAAAGATTTTAGGGTTACCTCTTCAGAGGGGGGAATGTTAAAGTACCCAAAAGCCCCATAAAAATAAATGAAAGAAGAAAAAGAAAAAGAAAAAAGTGATGGGGAGATATGAGAGGTGTTGAAAGGGAGGGAGTAGGCATGGATTTGATCAAAATACCTTATATGCATGTATGAAATTCTCAAAGTTTTTGTTAAAGTTTTTAAAAAATTATTTTTATTTCCTCAAACACAATATTTTTTTTCATCTTTTTAAGGCGTGGTCTCACTGTAGCCACAGCTAGCCTTGAACTCACTATGCAGACCAGGCTCAATCTCAGAGATCCCCCTGCCTCTGCCTCCCAGTGCTGGGATTAAAGGCAAGCGCCACCACACCTGGCCAAAACGCAAATCTTAAAACAGATTTATAATGGTGTTTCTATGTCAATCTTAACAAGCCTATAGAAAGACTATGAACAAACAAGACTATAGAAAACCAGCTAATTTTGTTAAATGTTATTTACTTACCAAGTCTTTACTATCCTCTATAGGTCACTTTTCTTTCACCCTCTCATAAAATATAAGTGAGACACTTTGGGAATTTTAATTTTACATACCAGGGCCAAAACTGAGATCAATGTTCAGATAATTCCCAGTGATTCTCCAAGATCACAAGTTATTACATACCTATGACTTTCTGGGTCTCACTATGTATGTAGCCCTAGCTGGTCTGGAACTCACAATATAAACCAGGCAGAACCCCCCAACTAAAAGAGCCCCACCTGCCTCTCTCTCCCCAGTGCTGGGATTAAAGGTGAGTACCACCACCAGGACTCATCCCTACTACTTTTGAAGTTCAACTTCAAATTTGAAATACTTAAGGGGCTGGAGATGTTAGTTCAATTGGTACAGTGCTTATGTAGTATGCGTGAAGCCCTGGTTCAATCACCAGCATCACATATCAGAGGTATACACTTGTTATTCCAATATTTAAAAGGCTAAGGCAAAAGTTGATTGCGGAGACACACACCTTTAATCCCAGCACTGGAGAGGCAGAGGCAGGCAGATCTCTGTGAGTTCAAGGCCAGCCTGGTCTACAAAGCAAGTTCCAGTCCAGCTGGGGCTATAGGGAGACCCTGTCTCAAAAAGACCCTCCCGAGCTGGGCGTGGTGGCACACGCCTTTAATCCCAGCACTTGGGAGGCAGAGGCCAGCCTGGTCTTCATAGTGAGTTCCAGGACAGCTGGGGCTACAGGGAGACCCTGTCTCAAAAAGACAAAAAAAAAAAAGACCCTCCAAACAAAAAACCCAAAAACAAAACCAAAAAAAAAAAAAAAAAATTTTTTTTTTAGAAAGGCCTAAGGCAGGAGAATGACTGATTCTGAGGCCAGCATGGGCTACACAGTAAGTTTCAGAGCAAGACTGTCTCAAAAAAATGAAACAAAAAAAAATCAGATTTGAAAAAATTAAACAGCCTTTGTCATCAAAAATCCAGTCTCTTCATCCTATACTTTGTTTTCCGTAAATCAGGAACTAAAGAAGCATTACCTTTTCTCTAAAGTTTGATTATTCCACACTCTTCTTTGGGAAAAATTATGTTATTAAATCTAAATTCTGTACATAGAAAAAATTAGAGGTATAAAACCTTTCCTAATGTATACTTCTCCAAAAAACTTAAATTCCAGTGATTATTGTCTGTATGTAGAAAAATTCATATGTATTAACAGATAAGCCAAAAAAAAAAAAAAAAAAAAAAAAGACTGATAGGGGTTCAGAAAGATGGCTTGGCAGTTAAAAGCACTGGCTGTTCTTGCAGAAGACCTGGATTGGGATCCCAGCAACCACATAGCAACTAACAACTGTCCATAACACCAGGGGATCCAACATCCTCTTTGGTCTTCTGCAGAGACTGCACAACACTGGTGCACTAACACGCACACTCATACACATAAAATTAAATAATAACAATGACAAAAAAATCACCGTCTTTAATGAAAGTTGGTTTGCTACAATGTCCTGACTGCCATTTGTGTTGCCATGATTATCAATTATTGGGCATATTTTCATTTCACTAAAATCATAACACTGGTGACAAAGACGCCTCAAAGAGGACCCGTGTGTAACACAGACAACTAGAACATTAGGAAGGAAATTACCTCCAATTCGTTTAGCCTCTGAATTCGTGGAGTAAAATGAAGTTTATCAACATCACAGGCAAATGGTGGCTGCCAATCCTAGGAAACAGCAAAAGCTCTTATTAGAATAATTTATAAATATTTGACACTTTTTAAAAAATTAAAATCAAAGTTATGTAAACCTATCCATAATAGCCAGTCAAACAAAATACAATAATGCAGTTTTTCAACCTGTTTTCCAACAGAAAAGCAGAGTATATAATGAATTCCCTTGCCAGAAGAATTTTACATACATGTGGCACAAATTCCTCCCTATATCCTGACCCAACACTGAACCTCATCATCTACTGAAAAATCATTGATAGGCTAGGCGTGGTGGTGCACTCCTTTAATACCAGCACTTGGGAGGCAGAGGGAGGTGGTCAGTCAGGGCTACAGTGGGAGTCTGTCTCAAAAACAACAACAAAAGTCACTGATTTAAGTTATTTTGACTTCTCAATTACCACACAAATACCTTTCTATAAAACAGTGACATGGCTGGATGTGGTGGCGCACACCTTTAATCCCAGCACTTGGCAGGCAGAGGCAGGCGGATCTCTGTGAGTTCAAGGCCAGCCTGGTCTACATAGTGAATTTCAGGACAGCTGGGGCTACAAGGAGACCCTGTCTGAAAAAGACCAAAAACAAAACAGTGAAATGTCAAAGTAGTAATGAATTTTTTTTATATCAAACCCAGTCCCATTATAAAACTGAAGGGGAAAAAAAAGGCAGGTGTATCACTCATGCCTGTAATCCCAGCATTCAAGAAGCAGAGGCAGGAGGACTGCCACAAGTTAAAGGCAACTTTGCCTACATGGTGAGACCCCGTCGCAAGAAAGAAAAGAGAGGAGGGGAGGTGGGGGGAGGGGCGGAAAGAAAAAGAGATTTGAGGACTGGAGAGATGGCTTAGTGGGTAAAGTGCTTGTTGTACAAGCATGAGTTCAGATCCCTAGAAGCTACATAAAAAAGCTGGGCATGGCAGTATGCACCTATAATCCCACTGCTGAGGCAACAGGGACAGGTGGATCCCTAGGGCTTACTGGCCAGCTAATTAAGGTTCAGTGAGAGAGGCCCTGTCTCAAACAATAAGATGGAGGGACAGGTGAGATGGCTCAATGGGTAAAAGTTTGTGCCATGAAATCTAAAGGATCTGAGTTGGATCTGAGGATCTTAAATGGTAGGATAAAACAGACTCACACAGGCTGTCCCGGAACATGCAGACTTCAACATGTACAGAGTGGCACAAACAAACCTACATCAACAAATATATACAAAATCAATGTGTATAAATAGTTTAAAAAGAAATTAAGGTATGGGTCACGACTGGCAGAACACACTCTTAATCCTAGCACTAGGGAGGCAGAGGCAGGTGGAGATCTGTGAGATGGAGGCCAGCCTGGTCTACATAAGGAGTTCTATGCCAGCTGGGACTACAAGGATACCTTGTCTCAAAAATAATAATAATAATAAAAATAAAATAAAAAAATAAGGTTTGAGCTGGGCATGGTGGCGCTTGCCTGTAATCCCAGGACTTAGGAGACAGAGGTAGGCAGACCTCTCTAAGTTAGAGGCCACCCTCATCTACAAAGTGAGTTCCAGGCCAGCTGGGGCTACAGGAAGACCCTGTCTCAAAAAGACCAAAATAATAAAATAATAATAATAATAATGTTTGGAATGATAGAGGAAGGCACTGAGAGTTGATCTCATGCATGTATAGGCATAAGGACCCACAGACATACCTTGATACACAGGCACAGATGCACACAAATTTGAAGGTGTGGGTGTAGTCTTCTAGTTGGTAGAGTGCTTGCCTACCAAGCCAGAAGTCCCTGGGCTAGATCCCTATTACCTCATAAACCAGGTGTGGCAGCCTAGGCCTCTAATCTCTGTACTCAAGAGGTGGAGGCAGGAGAATCTGAAGTCCAAGGTCAACCTAGGCAATATAGTTAATTCAAGGCCAGGGCTAAAATGAGATCATCTCAAAAGTTTTTTTGGAATAAATTTTTCAGTAGGGGGGAAGAGGAGTTGACACCTAAAACTATTTTGAAACAATTCTTTATTCTTTTTATTTTTTGTCTTTTTTAGACAGGGTCTTCCTATAGCCCCACCTGTCCTAGGACTCACTATGTAGACCAGGCTGGCCTTGAACTCACACAGATCTGCCTGCCTCTGCCTGCCAAGTGCTAGGACTATAGGCGTGCGCCACCATGCCCGGCTTGAAACTATTCTTAATTGTCTGCTATGATGAACATATAAACAGGTAGAAAATTACATGGATTTAGTCCCCAGGACTGTCAAAAAATAGAAGAGGGGAAGGGGTGTTGGTGTGGTTCAGTGGTAGAATGCTTGCCTAACATGGGCAAGGTGCTGAGTGTGATCCCACTAAAATAAAATTATGTGTCGGCCCTCACAACCCTCTACTTCCCTGGGCCTGTAGGACTCTCTCTCCCCGGGGTAAGTTGATGTTGCCCTCTGTGCCTTGATTCCCCCAGCCTCACTCACCCTCCCATGTCCTGACCTGGCTCTCCTCCTAGCCTGGGCCCTGTTCCATTCTTTCTCTTGGCACCCAAATACCTGGGGAACCACCACTGCTTCTTCCAGATCCTGTGCATCCAGACCAACTCAGTTCCTTCTCCGGTCCCCAGGAGCGCTCTGGGCCCGGCCCCACCCTCACCTCCCTCGCAGGGTCTACACAACCCTCCAGCCTCTTTCCTGGACACCAGGGCTGACTTTTCCTCTTCCTGGTCCTTTGCATCCAGGTCAACCCAGTTCATCAGTGCAGTCCCCATGGGCCCTTGAAGCCACGTCCCACCCCCAACTTCCTTTGCATCTCTGGGTGGCATGGCCACCAGCTGCCCTAGACCAGCATCTTTCCTGGGCCTGGCTCCCAGGCCAAGTCCAACCCCCAAATTCCTGAGGCCAAAGTCTATCCTGGAGGGATCCAGACCTTAGGAGAAAGCCTGAGAGCATCTGATCCTCATCTGACTTGGGGCTCTGTGGGAAGTCCTGAAGACAAAAGCAATCTGGCCAATCCAATATAAAATCAAAAGAGAACTGGAAGTTTAGAGGAACCAGCCTTGCAGGCCCAAATATTAAACCACAAAGACACATAAAGTTCACAAAAAGACTTAGACCTAAACTTGAAGGCTTGAGTCTCACACAAGAATGAGAACTACAAAAGAAATTAACGTGTCAAAATCACAAAGAAAAAACAACATGAAAAACCAAAATACCGTATCGCCACCAAATACCAATACTCCTATAGAGAAGTACAATGAGAACCCCCTAAGATAATGCTGGACATGGAACTCAAAAGAACAATTATAAACATGATAAAAGAATTCAGTAAATTTAAAGAATACACAAACAAAGAAATGAAAGAACTGAAGGAAGATAGGGATAAACTTCTGAATGAATTCAGAAAAGAGTTAGAAATATTGAAGAATACTCAGGCTGAAGTGAAGAAGGAAGCGAAACACCCAGTAAGCCAATTAGAAATGACAGGAGAAAGACTCACCAACAAGATGAATGAAATGGAAAACAGAGTATCAAGACTGGAAGATAAGGTGGATGAACTAGGCCACTCAAGCAAAGATTATGAAAAATTTAAGAAATCATAAGAATGGAATATGCAGGAATTGTGTGAAACCATAAAAAGACCACACTTAAGAATCATAGGCATACAGGAAGGAGAAGAGTCCCAAGATAATGGCATGCACCAGATCTTCAACAGAATCGTGGAAGAAAATTTTCTAAAATTAAAGACATGCCCATACAAATACAAGAAGCACATAGAACACCAAACAGACAGGACCAGAAAAGAAACTCTCCACGGCACATCATAGTAAAAACACTAAACATACAAAACAAAGAGACAATTCTGAAAGCTTCAAAAGAGAAACAACAAGTCACATATAAAGGAAAACCCATTAGGATTACAGCTGACTTTTCAGTGCAAACTATGAAAGCCAGAAGAGCCTGGTCCAAAGTATTCCCGGTTTTAAATGACCACAGAGAGTTCTGGAAGCAATAGAAAGAGCTGAAGAAAGGAATGACTATACCCAAGGGATTGCAGAAAGAAGTCCAATGAAGGTATAACTATGGAAAAGTACAGCTACATCACAAATGTAATTAGAAATAAAAATGACAGCATTCAATACTCATCTTTCATTAATAACTTTAAATATTAATGGACCGAACTCCCTAGTCAAAAGACACAGACTAGGGGAATGGATTAAGAAACAAAACCCATCTTTTTGTTGTGTGCAAGAAACCCATTTCACTTTCAAGACAGACACTATATTAAAGTGAAAGGATGGGAAAAAAAATATACCAAGCAAATGGTACTAAGAAAAAGCAGGTATTTCAATTCTAATATCTGACAAAATAGACTTTAAAATAAAACTAATCAGAAGAGATAAAGAGGGCCACTTCATTCTGATCAAAGGAACAATAAACCAAGAAGATATTACAATC